TCTATATACCAGTACGCGTCAAAAGCTCCACCTCGTCGGCAGTCCAACTGGCAACCGCAGTTCACCCAGATTTAGATCTGATTGGTCGGTTTCTATCCAGTCAGCATCAAAAGCTCCACCTCCTAGGCAGCCATCTTGGGATGGTGTGATGAAGTGTTAATTTGCAAATTACCTCTTTATTATATAGGAATTATTATATAGGATGATGTTCACCTGCCCACCTTCCCTCACAGGTTTGTTATATAATCACTAGAGGCCTGATGCACGAAATTCGTGCAAGAGTGGGCCTTCCTTCCCCGGCTGTCGGCACCGGCTTCCCTCTGGACGCCAGCAGGCACCCGGGACCCGGGACCCAGGACCCAGGCCTCAGCCTCTGCCTCTGTTTCAGCCACCATGGAGGCCAGGGGCCTCTGCCTCTGCCTCTGCAGTTGCCAAGGCCCCTGGCTTGGTCTGGAAGGATGTCCAGAAGGACATCCAGTCTAATTAGCATATTACACTTTTATTATTATAGATTCTTACTTTACTAATGAGGAAATCTGAGATTCAGTGAAGTTAAATGATATGCACAACGTCAACAATTAAGTGGTATAATTAAGTCTAGAACCAACATCCTAGAACAGCATGGAGTTACTCATGGCATAAGATTTATGTTATGTCTTTAAAGATGGGTCACATTCATTTATTCCAGACACTCTGCTAAATGCTGAAGAAATATCAGTAAACAAAACAGTCACGGTCCCTGCCCTCACAGAAGCTAAAGTGTGGTGGCAAGTACAAAAAAAAAATAAAGTCACACAGGAAAGCAGAGGAGGGCATTCCAGACAAAGGAAATCATGTGAGCAAAACTAGACAGAGGCAAGAAGCAGTATGCTACGGCCAGGGGTAGGACAGTAAAGGGATGAATCAGTATGGACCAAAGCAGGTGAGTTGGGAAAAGGAGGAAAATCAAACTAGATGGGTAAGGCAGGGCCAACAGCTACTCTACTGAAGTATCCTCTCCCTTTCTTTAAAATATGGGTAAATAGCCCAGCCAGTGTGGCTCAGTGGTTGAGTGTCGACCTATGAATTGGAAGATCACAGTTCGATTCCTGGTCAGGGCACATGCCCAGATTGCAGGCTCTGTCCCCATTAGGGGAGTGCAGGAGGCAGCCGATCAATGATTCTCATCATTGATGTTTCTATCTCTCTCTCAATCCCTTTCTTTCTGAAACCAATAAAAATATATTTAATATATATATATATATATATATATATATATATATATGCATAAATAAGTGAAAGTAGAATTTTGTGTTTATGTTCAAACAAGAGCCCCACACACAACTCCTTGCCATGGGCTAAATCATCTTTATGAATCAATTGCCACTTCTGTACCTGCTGCATCAAGAGCAGAGATGGTCTTCCCAAGGGCATGGGCTTCAGCTGGTCTTACTTTTCAGAAACTGTTCTCAAAAGACAACACCAGCATTAGTTATTGCAGCAACAAACTAGTAGAAACATCCAAGTTCAAAACTACAAAATCAGTTACAACCACATCAAAGGCTCCTAGTTATCATGGTGCACAGCCCTGAAAAGATCATAAGAGGCCTCTCTCCCCCCAAAAAGAACATTAGTCTATCTCAACTTTTCTGTCCCTTCCTTAAAGGCCTCACACACTAACAGATGTATGTCCCTTACAAACCTGGCAGAACTGCTGATGCTATAAACTGTGCTCTGAATGCAAAAATTAAGTAAGTCTGAGTGATTCAGAGTTACCTTGAAACAGTTCCAAATCCAAAATCTGTGGATGCCACCAAAGCCAAGCAATGCATCCTCCTGTTTATTCAGCACCTTATAGCCTTCAAAGCACTTGGTGTAGTTAATCTTCACAATACTCCTTCAAGGTAGGAGTATTTAATCAACAGGTATCTACTGAGTCCTTCTTAGGGGCCAGATACTGTTCTACACACTGAGCAAAAAAAAAGCCAAGCCCCACCCTCACGAAGCTTATATTTTAGTGGGAGGGTACAAATACTTGTATACAACGCAATATTAGTTAGTGGTAAGCGCTATGAAGAAAAATATAGCAAAACAAAGGAGTAAAAAAATGACAAGAAGTGATTATGTTAGAGTGATCAGGATGTCCTCTGTGTGGAGACATTTGAGCAGAGGTCTGAAGGAAGTGAGGAAGCAAGTCATGTGGGTATCTGGGAGAGAGCATTCCAAGTAGAGGGAAAGGCAAGTACAAAGGCTCTGAGATGGGAATGGACCAACCCTAGTGTGGAACAGCACAGAGAACAGTGTGGCTAGATAGAGTGCATGAGTGAAAGGGGACAGTGGAAGAAAACAAAGGACTGATTAGGTAGGGCCTTGTAAACCATTAAGGTAAAGATTTGGTAAACAATTATTATCTCCACTTTCAGACAAGGAACTAAAGGTCAGAAGGTATAAAGGACTTGCCTAAGGTTAAAAAAAAAGTGAGGTTTTAACAAGTATCCTATGCTATCACTGAGATTTCTCAGATCTCAAGCTTCCCCTGTGGAGACTAAAGGTGTTCTTTAAAAAACAAAGACAGAATAAGTGCCTCATCTTGGAAGGAGAGGCAAGGTACCTTAAGACCCAGCAATCCCATTTCTGAATACTAGTACATTCCACAGGGAACTCTCACAAGGATTCAAAAGAAGCTATGGTACAAAGACAGTCTTGGCCGAACTATTTGAGGCAGCAAGGGAACGGAAACAACAAAGGGGTCTAATTCTAGAGTAAGTAAAATGCATTACATGCACATGATCAACTGCTCTGCAAATGAGAGAAATAATGAACTAGATACACATAAAGCATCATGAATAGAGCTCAGAAACATTCTGTCTGGATTTTTAAATAAGAAGATAAGCCCCTGCTTGCATGGCTCGGTGCAGGTTCAATTCTGGTCAAGGGTTGCAGGTTTGATTCCCGCCCCGGGTGAGGGCACATGCTGGAAGCAAACAATCGATGAGTCTCTCTCACATCGATGTTTCTCTGGCTCTCTCTCTCCCTCCCTTCCACTCTCTCTAAAAATCAATGGAAAAAATATCCTCCAGGTAGGACTAAACTAAATAAATAAAAATAAGGCACTCAAAAATCTGGTCTGTTCACATATTCTTGTTCTCTTCCAAGAAGGCCCCCACCTGAAGATCAGTGTGGCCATGTGATATGCTTTGACCAATGAAATGGTGGCAAAAGTGATATGTATCACTTGTGGGCAGAAACTTAAGAGCCAAAATGTGGTTCACAAGATTCCCTTCTCACATAAGCATATCAGTCTAGTCCCGTGGTCGGCAAACTGCGGCTCGCGAGCCACATGCGGCTCTTTGGCCCCTTGAGTGTGGCTCTTCCTAAGCCTTAGGAGTACCCTAATTAAGTTAATAACAATGTACCTACCTATATAGTTTAAGTTTAAAAAATTTGGCTCTCAAAAGAAATTTCAATTGTTGTACTGTTGATATTTGGCTCTGTTGACTAATGAGTTTGGCGACCACTGATCTAGTCCCTGAAGGAATCTACACTTGATCTTAGCCAAAAGGCCGAGAAGCGATCCCTGAAGGAATCTGATCAACAGAGCTTCCCACTGACCTGCAAGTGTGTTAAATTAGTTAAGACTTTTGTGGTGTTACCTCAATATAACCTAGTCTATCCCGACTAATGCAGAGTTATGGTACAATAAAAATGAATGTTTAAAGTGTACAATATAATGATTTGATATATGCATATACAGTGAAATGATTACCACAGTCAAGTTAATTAACATATCCATCTCCTCATATAGTTACCATTTTTAAAAAAAACATTTTTTATTGATTTCAGAGAGAGAGGAAGGGAGAGGGAGAAACATCAATGATGAAAGAGAATCATGGATCAGCTGCCTCCTGCACACCCTCTACTGGGGATGGAGTCAGCAACCCGGGCCTGTATCCTGACTCAGAATCGAACCATGACCTCCTGTTTCATGGGTTGACGCTCAACCATTGAGCCACACCGATTAGGCAATAGTTACCATTTTTTAAATGTGGTAAGAACACTTAAAGTCCACTCATAGCACATTTCCAGTAGTCAATACAGTATTAACTATAGTCATCATGCTGTACATTAGATCTCCAGACTTATTCATTCCACATAACTGCAACTGTGTACCCTTTGACCAACATCTCTCCATTTCCCCCACTTCTCCACCCCTGATAACCACCTTTCTACTCTCTACATCTGTGTATTCCACTTGTTTAGATTCCATATATGTGATAACATGCAGTATTTTTCCTTCTATGTCTGGCTTATTTCGCTAGCATAACGTCCTCCAGGTTTTCCATTGTCGCAAATGACAGGACCTCCTTCTTTTTAAGACTGAAGAGTAGCACAATAGCATTCAGCTATACTCTAAGCACAGAAACACATAAAACACATATCTAATTCCCAACAGTACATATATACATAATGGGTGGAATTGTAAGACCATATATTAAATATCCTAGAATGGGTGAATGATGCCTGTGAAAGAAGATGGGGATTGGGAAATGAGAGTAAAAGGGAAAATAATGAATAGATATAAAAAGGTTTGTTAAACACATTGTACAAATATTAGAAACTTCATTCACTCACTGATTCACTCAACCAACACTGGTACAGTTATTATGTGCCAGGTACTGTATTCTAGGCACTATTTACAGAGCAGTAAATAAAAAAATGGCAGCACTACGCTTATAGTTTATGGTGTACAGAAGAGAGATATTTTAAATACCCTAGTAAAAAATTATAGAAAGTGAATGAGTGTCATCTAAAAATGAGGTAAGCCCTAGAGGGTTTGCCTCAGTGGATAGAGTGTCGGCCTGCGGACTGAAGGGCCCCAGGTTCGATTCCAATCAAGGGCATGTACCTCAGCTGCAGGCTCCTCTCTGGCCCAGGCCCTGGTCGGGCACGTGCAGAAGGCAACCAATTGATATGTTTCTCCCACATCAATATTTCTCTCTGTCTTTCCTCTCTTTTCCACTCTCTCTCAAAATCAATGGAAAAATATCCTCGGGTGAGGATTAAAAAAAAAAGAAGTAACATGAGAAAGAGGGATCTATTTAAATTAGAGCAGCGGTTCTCAACCTGTGGGTCGTGACCCCTTTGGGGGTCGAACGACCCTTTCACAGGGGTCGCCTAAGACCATCGGAAAACACATATATAATTACATGTTGTTTTTGTGATTAACCACTATGCTTTAATTATGTTCAATTTGTAACAATGAAATTGGGGGTCACCACAACATGAGGAACTGTATTAAAGGGTCGCAGCATTAGGAAGGTTGAGAACCACTGAATTAGATGGTCTGCGAACATCTCTGTGGAAATGACATTTAAGAGGTGAAGGTTGCTTCCTTCCTAGCTAGGGAAGAGGGAGGGATGAGTCAGTCCAGGAAAAGAAACAGCATGTGCAAGGGCCTGCAGGGAGTATGGACCATCCTACAGAGGAAGTGAAAGACAACTAGTATGGAGGAAGAAAAAAGCGGCAGGAAATGTGATTGAAGAGATGGGGTGAGGGGCACAGTGGGTAGATCACTCCTATTCTCATAGCCCAATATAAGTTTGGATTTTATTCTAACTGCAATAGGACCATGAAAAACATTTTAAGCCAGGGGAATATGATCTTATTTCCAATGTATTTCATTCTAACACCCTTGCAATATGATCATGTTTCTGCAAAACTTGCAAAAAGAAGTATCTTTGCACTTGTTTTCTTCAAGGACCTCCCAGAACTTGCATAACATCAGGTCCCATGTAACCCAGCTCCATCTGAATGAGCTTAAGTGCTACATTAGATGTAAATCTCAAGGTGCCAGGGAGCCACAGAGGAGAATCAACTTGCCAATTTAGTACCAAGAGTTCTTTACTGTCAACGTGGCTTTTTCTTTAGTTTACGTTGTATGACAAGCATGTCAAACTCAATGGTTAACACGGGCCAAATAAACAAGGTTTACGTTTATGTGGGCCACAAAAAAACAAAAGCTTCAATTTTCATAGAAACATAGGTTTATTTCAATAGAGACATGCTGAATACAAAGAGCTGAAATAAATGAATCATTGTTAGCATAAAAGAATAGAACATTTTAATAAAAATTAGTATTTTTTTCTTGAACATTAACTTACCAGACACTGAATAACTGCACAAATTAATAAGAGTAACACAAATAAACCTATTTTTCTTGTTCTCCGAAAGCAAAATATTTCCTGTTGTGCACACCAAACAAGTCAGTACAAGACTAATGACGTGGCCATTGGCTGCTAAAGTATTTGCTGCTTGTATTAGTGGAGAGAAATGGTGTGCCTGCGCGTAAGGCACATAAGGGAAATGAATGCAACATGATTGCAGTAATCAGTCATCAGCTAATGTTGTAGTTTGTAATTAATAATTATATATAACAGGGTATTGTAAAAATTAAGTTACAAAATTTTTATCAAAATGTTTCTTACAGCCGAAACCGGTTTGGCTCAGTGGATAGAGCATCGGCCTGCGGACTGAAAGGTCCCAGGTTCGATTCCGGTCAAGGGCATGTACCTGGGTTGCGGGCACATCCCCAGTGGGAGATGTGCAGGAGGCAGCTGATCGATGTTTCTAGCTCTCTATCCCTCTCCCTTCCTCTCTGTAAAAAATCAATAAAATACATTTAAAAAAAAAAAAATGTTTCTTACATACCGTTATATAGGCTGGCTGCAAAAATATTCATTGTGGGCCGCATGCGCCCTGCAGGCCAAGAGTCTGACAGCTTGTTGTATGATAATGTTCAGAACTGTAACCTGGTCTAAATCACAGAAATCATGAGAACAGTAGCTTTTTTTTTTAATATATCTTTATTGATTTCAGAGAAGAAGGGAGAGGGTAGAAACATCAATGATGAGAGAAAATCACTGATCAGCTGCCTCCTGCATGCCCCCGGGGATCGGGCCCACAACCCGAGCATGTGCCCTGACCGGAAATGGAACCATGACCCCCTGGTTCACAGGTCCATGCTCAACCACTGAGCCATGCGGGCCGGGTGAGAACGGCAGCTTTGCTGGAGAAACACTCTGGAAGGTGAAAGATGAAGACGTGTACAGCTTTCCTCCTGTTTGTAGTGGGACAGTCCCTGCTTGTCTCAGGCAGCCTACATAAAGGCGCCTCCTATTGTAACACAGCAATGTGTGATGGAGGTACATGCATATGGCACACAAAAACTAAGCAAGGGAGATTCATTTACCCAGAAGCAAAGGTACCTTAACACACATATCCACCAGGAATGAAAATTACCTTCCAGTTTCCTTCAGCCTTTTCAACATTTACCCAGTAACAAAGGCACCAAGAGCTAACATCTATGGGAGACTTACTATGTATTAGCTTATTTAATCTTCATAACTATCGTAAGTTAGTTCTATCATTAGCCCCATTTTTGCAGATGAAAAAAACACACACAAAAAAACCAACTAAGCCTAAGCCTTAGAGAGATTAAAAGATTTGTCCCAAGTCACAAAAACCACAAGTAACAGAGCCAAGCTTCAAACTTAGCCTGACTTGAGTCCAACCTCTTCACCACTATTTAGAATCTCCTAGTCCCACCCAAATTTTTCTGCCACCGACACGAGTACTTTCTTCTTTTCCTTCCTGTACTGTTTTCTGTTAATGAAATTTCCCCCTTGATAATACAGCTGCGGTGTTACAATTAACAACAGAATGACCACAGGTAATTCCACTTAGTACCTTCCTCCAAATCAAACAGGAGCAGGATGACCAGGCCACAACATTCAGCCAGAATCCACTGTGGTCAAAACAAAAGGTCAAAAATTTGACCTGAAAGCAGTGATGTTACTAAGGAATCTCCGCCTCTGGGGGTTTTTCAGTCTATTTTAAGGGGATAAAATTCTGTAAACTAAAACTGAACGAATGTACGAGTCAAAAACATGCAAAACAGACACTACAGTATTGAAGAAGGTACCCTCTGTTGGGAGCGGGTGTGAGGAACTTGTCTGAGCTCACACTACAGGTCCAACAATGGCCTGATGACCATTACAGAGGTGAACATTCACCAAGCCAACAGGTCCCTGGAATATTAAAATCCAGAGAGAGGAAGGTTAGAGAAATCACCAAAGGACAGGAGGTCCAGGCCTACTCTATTCGTGTCATCCGCTAGTTAGTTTCCTAAAGTCTTCAGTGTTCAGGTAAAAGATTAAGAGCCAAATCTTTTCCGGTGATTTCTTCAGAGGGTCTCTCTCCCTCAGTCTTTTTTGTCCCTTACCCAAAACCCAAAAGAATTGTGAGAGCTCAGAAACCCCCATGAAACAATTTCATCAGATTGGATGGATGGGTGGGTGGATGGATGGATGGGTGGATGAGTAGATGGATGGATGGGTGGGTGGATGGATGGGTGGGTGGATGGATGGGTGGATGGGTGGGTGGGTGGATGGATGGATGGATGGATGGATGGATGGATGGATGGATGAGTGGATGGATGGATGGATGGATGGATGGATGGATGGATGGGTGGGTGGATGGTGGTGCTGGAGGGAGGGAGGGAGGCAGGAGGGAGGGA